AATCAAAAGTAAAAAATTGATTTGATTGATGTCGGGGGGGGGGGGGGTGGTAAAATTGGTTAAGGGGTACTTATAGCACAATCCTTCATTAATTATCACCAAAAAGTGCTTTACCTGGACATCGTCGTTGAACATTCTGTAGGTATTTCTGTAGCGATGCAATAACGTTGAGGCCCACTTGCTTTGAAAATCTTCAAACTAAAATAGAATCACACCTCATAAGCGATAAGAATCTACATGGAATATTCACCAATAAAATGGTAAAAACCTGGAAAAAATGATACCTGAACTATCACATGGGGCCAACGATTGAACACAGCCTCCATAAGTTCATCAACAATGGAAAGATATTCCTCACCTTCAAGACGACGTTCTTGCAATCCTAAATCTAGAAAAAAAAATACTATCATCATAAAGAAAATAATTTACTTAATAAAGTTTGAAAAAAAATAGCATAATATATATGTTAGAAGAGAAGAAAAAAAGTTACACAAGGGATTTTCTAGAAGGTTCTCATTGTTGGTTCCAACATCAATCATGATAGGAAGCACCTGTTACGATAAAAAAGGAAAAAAGATATAAGTTTGCATGTGAAATTTTTTAGAAATATGTATATACTGAGATGGATAATGTGCAAATTAACATTACTCTCTGAGGATTTATTCCAGCTGCAGCAACATATAAATCCAACTTCCCAATTGCAATTCCAATACCCTGAACTCCTAGATCACCAAGACCCATGATTCTGCTTCCATCAGTAACAACAATCATATCAACCTACAAAAATGTTAAAAACCTTCTCAACACAAACACCGAAGTATCTATATATCTAATAATTTAAAAATAAATAATAATAATCAAACCGTATCATTTATTTAAAAGTAGAGTACCTGTTCAGCAGGCCAATTATAAACCATTGACATCATTTCTCCACGATCAAGAGCACTGAAATACATCCCCCTTGGTCTTCTAAATAATCCACTGTATTTCTGACAAACAAGTCCTACTGTTGGAGTGTACACTATTGGGGCATACTCCTTGATATTGGCCATTAGAAGCTGTCATAACATAGATACAAAATACAATGTTCATGGTTAACACCAAAAGTAAACTACCTTAAAGAGTTTTTTTTACAAGAATCACTCACCTTATAGTACATAGTTTCATTTCTATCATGTAGTCTGTTAAGTATTCGCCACTTTGCCAAACTGATTGTGTCTGAAGGACCATCTCTTGCATTCATCTCAAGCTTCTTCAGCTCCGTCACTGTAAATTTTATAAAGATAGGTTAGCGACATGTTATGCTTATTATATTTGGTAGCAAGCAAAATAAATGAAGGTATTAACTTACTGAAGCGTTCAATTTGTTGTTCATCAGTCATGATGTTTGGAGGTAGAAGTCCACGTAGTTCTAGACGATCTCTTTCAGTCATGGAGAATGCTGTTCCCTGTTAATCAAAGTTGTCAAGTTTAATCCTGATTATTTGTTAATTAATGGAACGCGATCATAATAATTCATTCTTTTCAAACCGACTCATTATTCAATAACTATGTTATATTTGATTGGCTAATCGTTCATAATTCCTCATGAGGGCAGAATTGTGAATTTTTTGATGGAAATGAGACGCATAAATTGAAGAGCAAAAAGGGGAATCTTCCCACACACTTTTTGGACAACGTTACCGAGTTTGTAAGAGAAATTATAAACGACATTGCACAAAAAGTGACATTTGATTCAATTCATTGATGTACCTTGTTGAACCATGGGTTGTGAAGAATATCGACACCTTTCTTATGAAGAATGGTTGGTCTATGGCATTCGATTGTAGTGAATGATCTTGAAATTCTGTACTGTATGCCTCTAATCAGAGACGACGATAGCCGAACTTGGCGAGAGAAATTCGACATTGTTTCTTTAAAAATCAGAAAGAATGAGTAGATTTACAGAAATTTGCACTCCAATTGCGCCCTAGATGATAAAGAAAGAGAAATGCCTGTATTGAACTTGCTATTTGTGGAAGTTAAATCGGTTATGATTACCAACAGTTTCGCTTTGGCAACTTACATAGACCACCCTGGGGTTAGGCTTAACTACAGGCATCGCCTTTAAGTCTTGATAAATACCAATTAACCCCTGGTCTTTTGCATGATTGTTATCCTCAATAAATGTAATCCTTTATCTATAATAAGAATAACAATAGAGATTTTCAACCTTATATATTTTTGTAGTTTGAGGAATTTTTTGTTGGTGATTTAATATTATCAATATTATTTAAGTGTAATAGGTTAAAATTTGTTGATCAAAAGTGATCTTGTTGAATATTGAACAAGTTAGGATGATGTAGGAGTGCACACTTGTTCAAGTTTTTCAAGATTCAAAATACACTGTTATTTAGGGGCGAAACCTCTAAACGAACGGGGGTCCGGGGGCAGCGCCCCTGAGAGCGGGGTCCAAGGGGCAGAGCCACTGGCTGGGGTCGAGCTGCCAGATCAGCACAAATTTTTTTTATTTGGGTTATGTTGCTATATTAAAAAATGCATAAAAAATCCAATTTTTTAGAAAGTTGACCCTTTTTCCCTGAGATCCGTTTAATGACAGGTTTGGTAGTTTTGATGACAGTTTTCATATAGGAATCATATAGCTGTTTTTGGTCATTTTTTCTGATACATCTTCTTGAAGAACATTTGCACATACATTCTCTGATTTCGTATCTCTGAGTTTCATCCAATTGAGTGTTCGATCTGTACCATCGAAATACTTCAATTTGATAATGAATCACGACTTTCAGAGAATCCAAACAATATGTTCATCCCCTATTTCTAACATTTTTTTAGAGTTAAGCCTTTGGAGGATTAGGAGAGGTGGAGGTGGCTTGTTTGGGATGAGTAAGGTTGGGTTGGGAGAACCTCAAGCTCAAGCTCAAGATAGTTTCAAGTACACGCCCTCTGATTGTTTGGATATGTACATGTCTTCATCCCACCAGGATTCCCAACTATTGTCTCCTTTCACTCCAACTCCACCTTTATACATAAGCCAATTAGTCCAATCATCAGAATCTTCCACAACTCTGTTCACATCACATCCCAATCATCAAAATCTTATAAGATAGATTCATGAATTTGGAAAAAGAAAATAAAATAACTGGAAGCATACTTCTGCCATTTGAAGCCAGATGGGTTGAAGATATACGGTACAAACAGCCATGAAACCACAAGAAACCAACTGCTCAGTGTCAGCAGAACATACGAAACACTACCTCCTTTAGTGTACCCATAACCAATATAAACTATACGAAGCAATGTCATTACCAGCCTGTTTCAGTTTCACAACACAAACAATCACTTATTATCATTATTATTACTTATTAATGTAAACTAACAAACATTATATTATATAAATAAATAAAATAATACTTACGCCTTCACAAAATGACTTCTTGAGTAGAGCCTGTAGTTATCAGCAAATTTTATATGTTGTACAACAAAACCTCTACTAGTTGCTCTGTACTTAGCACCACCATGTAAGATTGTTCTTCCAAAATAATGAGTTCTAGTTCCTAATGAGAACGTGAAGAATACAGAGCATAACTGAAGTTGCATTGTAGTGAAACTGAAAATGGCCTGCAAAATCAATTTTAAAAATAATCTACAAGTATCAGTGATATTTGATATATCTGTCAAGTGAATGTGAACAAACCTTGAGTTGTCCAAGTTCAAGTATGAAACCCATAACCATTGGAACTGCAGTAAATACGCCAATTTGGACTAAGAACTAAGTATTCAAAATTGCACTGAATGCAACAGTATTACCCAATATTCTAGATCTACTACTAATCCCCTCATCAAGTCCTGAGAAAGCCTGAAATATAAAAATACCATATATCATATATAATTATTTTTGCAGGTTAAGAAATTTTGAAATTGGAAACTCTATGTAATTGTAAATAGTTTACCAGATATGCCTTCCCATACAAGAAAACATAGAGTGTTAGAACTGTCATCTACAAAACAAGAGCTCCATTAGAAAAAGCAAAGCAAGATTGTAGAAAGTTATAATAAAAGAAGGATTATAGACAAAGTAGTTTACCAGATATTCCCTCCCATACAATAAACATTGACTGCACCAAAGGAAGCTTTTTAAAATCTAAAGTCACAAGGAGTGACCCATTTGACATACTATTGTTGATCTCACGAAAGATTTTTTCAACCCTGAAAGTAAAATAAGTGAGAAATAATAGGCATAATATAATATAATATAATCATAACTGAGGGGTAAAACAGAGGTATGGATAGATATACAACTGGTGACATTAGCTTTAATATCAATCAGACAACATGGAATTGTCTTTTCTTCAGCCTTCATCCAAAATTCACAATAAAAGTCATAACATTGGCTACAATCTCCTTCAAATGATGTTAATCTGGTGCTAAATACTTATTGGTCTAAACATGATCTTTATTTAAACCCACAAAATCACAATTATGTGTTATAAGAAAAAAAACAATGATATGTTTAAAAACAAGAGTAACAAACTATCAACTTTCATATTTTTTTCCTTGCGACTGCTTGAATGACATCTTAATGAAGTGAACATAAACTAAAACCCCCAAAGATTCCCATGCTATTGAAAAGAGAACAAGAATTGAGAATTTCAGGAAAAATGACCACAGAAGTGACTCACTTGTGATGTAGAAGCACACCTTGATCCATGTCTTCGCCTCTTCTTATCCATCAAATGGATTCTTTTGAAGCTTCAATTTCACATGCAATCGGGAACCATCATCGTCAAATAATGATAACTTGGACATATCGAGGTTTTCAATAGAGAACGAGGTTGCTCGATTGGAGAGGCAAGGTAGTTTGTGAGGTTTAGCAGAAGATGTCGGTTTATTGTTGATGATGTTTTGGACTTTTCTTGGGTTTTTTTTTAGTATGGAAGGGAGATGAAACGGTCTCCAACTATGGAGCTGGAACTGATAACTTACTAATGTTTTTGGTGACATTGTTGTAGACGACGATGTTGTCGATAAAAATTAGGGTTTGGGAATCGGGGAATTTCAATGGTGGTGAGAGTTGGTTGTAGGTGGAAACAGAACACTAGATTGCTTTGATTAAAACAAAATTGAAGCTAGATCGTTTGATGGGGGAACCGTCTCTAAGAGTAAGAAGAGTGAATTGTGAGAAAAAGTTAGGGAAACAAGAGTGAAACGCTGGTCATTCTTCTTCGGTGGATATGTTCGCCATTTGTGTGGAATGAACTGTGAAAAAAAGCCCTAGTTGCTTATCAGGAAGCATGGCCGCGCGTTATTAAAAAATTATAAAGCGACATCCTTACACGACACACATTTTATGCAAGGTGCCCTCCGTGTTTTTTTTCTTTGTTGTGACAATAATTTTAGGGCACGCAAAAATGTGTATCCTAAATCCTTCAAAATTTGGGAGAGATGACATTATTTTTAGGGCACACGTTTTTGTGTATCGTAAACTCGTGTGTGTCATGGTTTGCGTGTCATTAAAGGGTTATTTTCTAGTAGTTGAAGAATAAATTATATGGGAAAACTCAACCCCCACCACACAACAAAGGAAATCAATTGGTGAAAGAGAAGAAAAGTCCAAGCCTCAAGCATGGACTCCGCAAGAAGAGCTAGTGTTGACACAATCTTGGGTTGACATTTTACAGGATTTAATCTACGGAAATGCACAAGGGTATGAACATTTCTGGCTCCGCAATCTTGAAAGATTTCGCAAGCAGTTGGGTGAAGGTGATGACTACCGTACCAAACACCAACTTAATTCAAAATTTCGAGAAATGGTGAAAAATGTTTCGAAGATAAACATGTTGTACAACAACCTAAAAACCCAAAGGAGAAATTGTCAAGGAGATGAAGAAATTCTTCAAGAGGCTTTGCATTTGTTTCACGAGGAAAAGAGAAAGATGTTCAACTTTAACGAGCCTTGAAAATTGTTAACTTCTAGTCCAAGATGGAGAAAATATGAAGTCGACTTCCTAATAGGAGGAGAACAATCAAAAAGAACAAAAACAGGCTCCAGTGGATACATAACTTTTTCCGATGCTCGTGTCAGGATAGATTTCAATGTTGAAGACGAGCTCGAGCTAGAAGAAATTGTCAAACCGATGGGTAGCGACATAGAAAAAATGAAGGGGTAGATGTCTTCTTCCAATGCATAAGATTTCAACAACAAAGTAAATGGAGTGCATAAAATGACGGAGATATTTGATAAATACAATCTGCATTTCGTTGAACGTTTGACATTTGACAAAGAAAAACTTGCCCAAATAAAAAAGAGCACAAGGAAAGGAAAGAAATTGAAGATATGAATTTCTAGGTGCAAAAAACTGATTATCTTTCGGGACATGGCCCGAGCTAATTTTGAAGGCGAATGAGAAGATCATGAAAAAATATTTCCCTAGATTGTTTCGTTTTTTTTTTTTTTGTGTTTTTTTAAATCTTGGTTGTTTTTTATTTAATCTTTGTTGTTTTTTTAATCTTGGTTGTTTCTAGGTATTTTTTTTAAAATATTGGTTGCTTTGTATGTACTTTTTATTTTAAGTAATGAAGTATTTCTATTTTCATTAATTTTTGTATTTATTAATCATTTTTAATTAACTCTATTAATTTTCTGAATTATAAACTTTAAAATTAAATATTTTTATTTTTAAAAAATAAAAGTGAAAGATAATTATTTCTTGGCTTTTGCTAAGTGAAATGTGAGTAAGTGGAAAGTTAACGTGCCACAATTTTTACAAGAAAAAAGTAAAACTAAAATATAGTTGGTCTTATACGTTTTCAACCGATTATAAATAAACAATTTTTACAAAAAAAATAATAATAAAATATAAGCAGAATTAGTGAGTCACATAAACAAAAATATTGAAAAAGCTCTCAATCTTTTCTTTTAAAGTTTTATTATGAACAAATAGGGGTGTAAACGAGTCGAGCCGAGCCCGAGCCTGACCAAGCTCGAGCTCGGGTCGTTTAATTTTGAGGAAGCTCGAGCTCGGCTCGTGAACAATTTAGTGGGCTAGCACTACTAGAAAAACAGCCTTTTATGACGCGCAATGCGTGTCGTAAAACGCTCAGACTACACGCAAATGCGTGTCAAGAAAGGCTCTGTCATAACGAGAGATGACACGCTTTTGCGCGTCGTCTATAGACGACGTGCATTTACGACGCACATTTATGACACGCAATGCGTATCATTAAAACCCATGTCAAGAAAGGCCATGTCATAAACGAAGATGACACACATTTTTGTGTATCGTAAATTTAAATGTTTAAAAAAATATATTTATATATTTATTAATTTTTAAATTAAATTTTCATTTCATGTCTCATAATATAAATAAAATACCATATACAAAAAATACAATCCATTGCATAATATAAAATAAAATTTCATACACAAAAAATA